TTATCTGTAAACTGAACAACCAACAACCTAGTCATCCATTCATACTTCAATATAGACAACACAACACCATTTCTAAAACACATAACCAACACAACATCATATGAATAGTCAATTGAACCAACACAACACCATATATAAACACATCTGAATAGCCAACACAATTGAATAGACAACATAACAACATTTCTAAACACATTTGAACACAACATCATCATGCATAATGCAACATCACCATTCATTCATAAGACCTCACATAAGGCAGAATTTGGCAGAAAATACCAGGATAAAGTCATATTCATAAGGACTCACATAAGGCAAAATTTACCAACAAACAAAACTCAAAATAGTAGGCCCTTAATGAAAATAGTTTACATGTCTACTGGACTAACTTAAAAAGTGCTTAAATATATCAACATTTTGACTGTGAAGAAGAGTTATTTTGACTTGGATTATCTGAACTACTTCCCATTGTCTTCTTTCTTTACTTCTCTCTAAGCTCGTGAAGTTTGCTTGTTGAGATTGTTGTTTTACCATTCCATTTCAGCTTACTTGTATTACTTGGTGTATAACTAATGTCACCAGTTATATCAGTTGATCTTATCACTTTTGCTTGACTAGTAGAGTAGATCTTACTACTTGGCATGCCAGGCTACAATAAAATTATGAATATAATTCAATATTTAAAATGTTTAAATTAACAAAATAGTTTAAGATGTAGCAAAGACTCACATTCGTGACTTTGAAGCCATTTGCAGGTTGGAACACACCCATTCCCATGACTCTTGGTCTTTTCTCTAGAAATGTGTTTTCCCTGCCCTTACCTCTTTCTCTTTTAGTAGTACCAGTTACTGAAGATTATGCATGATAATTAGGAGTAGCAGAAGAGGATGCAGGAAAATCAATAGGTGTAGTAGGTAGGGGAGGTGCACTAGGTGCTGCTGGTGATGTTTTTTTTTGTCTTCCTCTTCCTCTTTTTAGTGGAGGTTCACCTTCTGATGGTGCTGATGGAGTTTTCTATATATATAAAGAAAAAAGTAAGTTATAAACTAAGAAAAAGTAAAACAAGTTCAAATATTACCTTTTGTTTGCCTCTTCCCCTGCCTGAACTGATGCAGTAGGTGATGGTGCACTATGTCTTGTTTAGGGTTGGGCACCGGACCGGACCGGAACCACCGGACCGGAACGGGACCGGTTGACCGGTTTGTTGATCGGTACCGGGATGAACCAGACCGGGATTACCGAGATGAATATTCGGTCCCGTCCCGTCCCGTCCCGTCCCGTCCCACTATATATTGAGATGGTACCGAACCGGACCGGATTGGAACGGAATCGGAACAGGACGGGACGACACATATTTCAAAAAATAATATTTTTTTTAGTTATTTTGAATTTCAACTTACACGAAAATATGAATACTTTTTTAGTTTTCTAAGTTTAAATTTTAATAGTTTTGAAATTTATAATGTAATTTTACTAAAGTTTATTTTAAAGATATTTTTTTTAACTATTACTTATTAAGTTTGTAAGTTAAGACTTAAGTTTAATAAAGTTTTTTTTAAAGAATAAATTTGAGCTTAAGTTTTCAAGTTTTGAATTTGAATCTTTTGAAGTTTATAAGTTATTACATATTAATATGTTATAAGTTATACTTATTAACTTGTAATTTAAATAACTTAAGTTTGTAATTTTAAAAAATTAAATAAAAAAAAGTATATAACAATGACACAAATTAAAAAAGATATCAATCCAATTTATTCAAATTTGTATTACAATTTACAACTATTAGTAGAGTGCCTAATTTACGCAGCCACCTTCTAGGAAGGGTTCTGTTTCAACTAAGCCTCGAATGCAATACTAATAGTGGTATAGTCCTACAAAGCCATTTTCTAACTCAGCTATAGATTGACCGTTATCAACTACTGGTCTTGGTAAAGCTCGTTGACGATCTTGAAGTTCCAGCGTCGTAACTACCATATCCAATGACTGAATCTATGAAAAGTTCATATTGACTACTTAACTTTGGAAGTCCTAGATTTCTTCGCTCAGCATTTATCCAATCTCTAAACAACACCGATATCTCCAAACTGTCTTCTGCTAACAATTATCTGTGGTCTCCAATTTGAAAACTTGTTGCGCTGAAAGCGGCCTCCGAAGCTACTGATGATCCTTGAATTGCAAGCACGTCCTTCACCATCCTACTAAGTTTTGGAAATTGAGTTCCATGAGCCCTCCACCAGTTCAGAAGTTATGGTATACCTTCCTCGTTTGTAATATTATCTGAACCTTGTTCAAGATATTTAACAAATTCACATTTATTAGAAGAATCAAGACCAAGTTTATGTTTCATTCTACCATGGGCACCTACTTGAGACATAGACATTTGAAGATTTTCAACATTGTCTAAGGAACAATATTTATCATACATTTCTTTAGCAAGTAATTTTATACTATTTTGACATGTTTCCAAATCAGGTTCTTCATCTGGCTGAATATCTAATTTTTGATAAATGCATTTAACTAAAGCTTTTGCACCATATTCTTTATATTTAGGGTTGAAAAGAATTGCAGTTAAATAAATTTGAGGGATAGGAAAAAAATATTTCTTAAATTTTGAAATCATAGCTTCAATAGCATTTGCAAATAATTCATTTGTTTTATATTCAGCAAAGAGAGATGAAATCTCACATACATATATTAAAATTTCAGAAATAGTAGGATAATACATTCCAGAAAAAAATTTAGTAGCATCATAAAATGATTTCAAAAGTATTCTAAGTTCATTTACTTCTTCCCAATCACTATCATTAAGTTTTGAATCAGAATAAGCATTATGAGAATTAAATTGCATAGTAATAGGTTCTCTATATGCATAAGCAACTTCAAGCATATCATAAAAGGAATTCCATCTAGTTTTTACATGCTTTGGAACTTTTCTAAATGGAAGTTGATATACATTACAAAACTCTTTAAATCGATTAATTCTACTACTACTATGCATATTAAAAATAAAAAAACAAGCATTATCAATTTTTTCACAACTATTTTCAAATAATTTCACACCATCACTAACAACCAAATTTAATATATGCGCAGCACATCTAACATGAAAAACATATTTACTAATAGGACAAAGTCTAGGTTCTAGCATATTAATAGCATTTAAATGAGCAGAAGCATTATCTAAAGTAACACTAATGACTTTATTACAAAGACCAAAAAAATCTAAAATATCCAACACAGTAATAGCAATATACATCCCAGTTTTTTTCTGTTGACAAATTTTATAACCGATAATTCTTTTTTGTAAATTTCAATTATAATCAATCCAATGCGCAGTGACAGTTAATAATCATTACCATTAGGACTATGACCCATATCAGTGGTAATAGCAACTTTACAATCCATTATTTCAAAATAGGCTCGCAAAAATTGACAATGTTTTTCTTGAAATTCAAAAATATCTCTTTTTACCATGCCTCTTGATAAACCAGTAAAACTAGGATTATATGTATCACGAATATATGCAATAAAACTCGGATGTTCTCCAAAACTAAAAGGTAAATCACAAGCAACAACCATTTTAGCAAAATTTTCACTATCACGATCCTTATTATAGGTTTGATGTGTAAGAGGACCACTTGGGTTAGAAGTATTTAATTCACCTTGAACCATATTTGACCCTCTAACCGATGCTCCAACGCTAGAATCTTCATTAACACCAAGAGAAGATAAATATGCAAACCACTCTTTCTTATGTTTTAGAACCAAATGTCTTTTTAATCCCCCCGTTGAACCTCCACTCCCACCAGATATATATTTAAATTGTTTTTTATAAATATTACATATACTAAAAGTTTTTTCATCATTCAAATAACAAAATTTCCACACATGTGATTTTCTAGTACGTTCTACCTTGGTCTTACCCCTAGTTGGAATAATAGGAGGACGATTAGTTCCAACCGGAGGATTGTCCTCCTGAGGTGGAACTTCAGTACTATTGGGGTCGAGACTAGTCGGTGTATCATCTAAATCTACTTCTTCATCTTCATCTTCATCTTCATCAATTTCTACTTCTTCATTTTCTTGATAATTACCATAATGTCTTTCATAAAGCTCATGGGGAATTATAGGACTATCCAAATTAAATTCTATAGGACCGGGACGAGAAAAACTAGTTTCATTCACATGCGTAAATTCATTCATATTTATTCTAACAAGAGGAACTTTAAATTTAGAAGAACTAGAGCCTTTATTAGTTCTTATACATATATTTTTTACTTTTTCTACAACACCTATTTTACCTTTATCATTTTTTTTAGAAGACTCCATGATATAAAATTATAAATTATAAAATAAGAAATTTAACAAGAACAAATAAAATATAATAAGAAAAACTTACAAATAATAAATACAAAAAATAAATATAAGATTAGAGAGTGGAACGAAGTTACCAAGCGTTTGTGTAAAGAACAAACGATTATAACCGAAAATTGAAAAATTAATATCGAAACTTGAAGTTTGAAGATGATTCCTCCTCCAAAATTCACCAAATGACTATTCAAATCTTCACAATTATAAAATAATATGATTGAAATTTGAAACTTGAAACTTAAAACTTTGAGAAAGATTGAGAATTGAGAGAAATTAATAATTGTTAATTGTTACTGTAAAAATATAAAGAGAGGGAGTATATATAGTTTTTAGAAATTGTAATTATGTGTTGAATAATATTGTCGTTGAAATGGAGTTGGAGAATTGAGACGTTGAAATGGAGCCGTTAGGAGGGAAAGGGACTTGGGGCAGTGGGAAGGGGCTAGGTCGGCAGGCAGCAAACATCTTTTCAGAAAAAACTGCCACCTGGCCGCCTGGGACAGAGGGAAAGTCTCCTTTCAAAGGAGTAAAGTCAAAACTCAAAGGCTTTTCAGCCTTTTTATTTATTTATTTATTAATATATAAATTATAAAATATAAATTAATTAATAAAAAATATTATTAACCGGATTATCGTATCGGAACCAGACCGAAATCGAAATTTATCGGGATCAACAGTGCCGGGATTACCGGAATGAATATTCGATTCCGTCCCATCCCGAGTACCGGTTCATGGTGTCCCGTTCCGTCCCATAGACTATCGGACCAGAACGGTACCGGATTGGTACCGGTACATCCCGGTCCGGTGCCCAGACTTAGTCTTGTTGATGACTCAACACCTTCTCTTTGAGGACACCCTCTCTTGTTATGGCTTCTGACGTGGCATTTACTACAGGTCATTGCAAGTCCAGTCCTAGAAAGATTCCAAGATTTCTTAGTTTCTCTAGCTTCTTTCCTTCTAGCCTTAGATAGCCTACCATATATGTTTGTGATTTCTGGTGGTGAAATAGTGGGGTTTGTAGAAACGGGCCACATCTCTATGTTTGTGAGTGGTTCAATAACATTGGCATAAGTCCTCAAGTAAGTTTCCTTACTGTAGCAGTTTTCTACATAGTCATAAAGAGAAAACTTCGTAAAGTATAATGCAGCCATATCATGTGGATATTGTATGCCCCTTAACTGCCACATTCTACAAATACAAGTTCTCCTAGCAATATCCACTTTGGGTTGATAAAGTCCTTCTTTCACTTCAAATCCAACAACTCCATTAAACTCGATGGTACAGTCTATAGACCTACTAATGTTCTCCTTTAAAACCTTTAGAACCATTGGAGAGAAATTACACTTCCAAGTACTTGGGAACTCCCTTAAATTGGTCATTCTTGTCATCATCTTCACTCTTATATCTTCAAGCATAGTAATGATGGTCTTGTGTCTAGCAGCCAAGATCCATGCATTAAAACACTCAGAGTTGTTGTCTACAAATTCACACTTCACTTTAGTATTGAAGTAAACTTTGCACCAGTAATTAATGTTGTAGTATATTAAGTCATCCATCATTTTTTCTGGACCTAACAACTTCATTTTCTCTGTATTTTTCCTTAATTGAGACTAAAATGTACTCCTGCTACCTCTCAAGATTGTTGTCTTCTTTGAAGACCCATCCAATCCTTAGCCCAGTTAGCTAATATGTGCCTAACACACATTCTATGTTCACACTGAGGTAATTCCTCTGTAATTGTTGCATACATTCCCTGCAATAGATGATAATTAGGTCACAATTACATATATAAATTGTAAATTAAACAATAAGTTCACATACCTTCTGCATATTTGTAATCAAGGTGAGACCTCAACCATCTCCAAGTCCTAGATCATCCCTTATGCACTTGACAAACATGGTCCATAAGTTTCTGTTCTCCTTTTCAACTATTTCCCAAGCAAGTGGCAACATC